AAATTAGATTTCGTCCTCGAAATCATTCCTTATCCCTGCTTACACACCCAATCATTCCTTATCTCGAAATCATTCGTTTATTTATTTTATTAAATAAACAGGGTGTTACATCATATTACTTAACTAAGTTTTTTCTTAAGTTTCCAAACATGATCTTACTAAGGCTTTCTTCTTTTATTCAGTTCTTGACTTATCATATTTGTATCGATCCATGAAATGGTCAATCGTGTCTAAATCACTATTTTGAATTAGTCTGCATAGTCTTAATGCTTTTCAAGTTTGCGAATACTTGAACTTATGAAGTATTATTGTTATAGTTCTAAATCCCGAAGTTCTCATTTTCCTTTCTTATTTGATCGTACTTTTATATTATTAACCTTGAACGCTTTTTTGTCATTTTCATTACTTGTACATCTTTCCATTGGTTCTTCTTATGTTGATTTTTCCATAATCAAAAAAATTCTTATTCTCTCATTTTCTCTTTCTATTCACTTATTTATCATATTAAAGGTTACACCACTATATGATTGTCTAATTAGGTCTGGCCCAGACCGTAGGCAACCCGGACGGTCGCCCAAGGCATATGTCTCTAAGGGGCCCAAAATTCTTAGAGTATATGGTATATATAGAGAAAAAATTACTTATCTAAAAATGCTAAAAATATTTTTCTTTAAATTAGTTGTTTTTGTAATGTTGTGACCATATTTGTGTTTTTTAATATTAATAGTAACTTTTGTGAATTTTATAACATTGTGTCTATTTTCGATTTAAACTTTATTATATTTATGACTTTGGAGGGTCCACTTTTTCTTTTCGCCCTGGGCCTACTATGAGCGTGTTCGGCAAAACTAGCTGATAGCGGGTAGCTTGTAGCGGGTAGCTTATAGCGTTTTTTTAAACGCTACATGAAGTAGCTTTTGAATTTGGAGCGTTTTGTTTAAACTAAACGCTACAAGCTTGTAGTGCCAAACAAGGTTTTCTGTTCAAAACGGAACGTTTTGTCAAACGCTAGAAGCTAGAAGTTTTTAAACGCTCCGTGCCGAACACGCCCTATATCTTTGGACCGACTCTAAATTACGTGATCATTCTTTGAACCTACGCTTTGTACTTTCCGTTACTTTGTATTTTACACACATGACTGAACTTTTTTTTAATCCAACAATTATATATATATATATATATATATATATATATATATATATATATATATATATATATATATATATATATAATATATATATATATAATTGTTGGAAAAGATCAAATGAAAACACCAAAAATGTTGAGAACGCGATAACACTTCTGAACCAATCATATTATAAGGGTATATTCGTCATTGTGTATTTATTTTAAATTAAAACAAATTAAATTCAAATCTTAATTTCCTAAAATTTAGCGATAATGATTATCTACCTAAAATAAAATATGAACTGATTTTTTTATTTCTTTTATTAATGGATGATAAAGATAATTTATATTATTTTTTTTGTCAAATAAAAATTCCTTTTTTTTTAATTTATTATTCATCAAAATATTTTCAATCATATATAAATAAAACGTTTGTAATTATAAATATATATATTTGTAATACTAAATAATAAATCATAATTTAGAGATAACATTTATAAACGAATAAAAATAAACTACTAATCATACATGAATATGCTAACAAATAAAAAAAATCAACACATTAAAAAATATATTGATAAAATAAAAATTTCAAAGATTGAGTGTATACAATTATATATTTATATTCATAAAAGAATATACCAAGACTAGTTTCATATATTTATACATAATTATATTCAACAATGATTAAACCGCTTTAAAGGAATTTTTATTTTTGCAAAATTCATCCCTATATCAGCCATTTTCTTGAATTGGTCATAACCCTTCCTTCTCTTTGAATCAAATGGCTTGCGAGCTTGTGTAACGAGCAGGAGCAGACACGATATCTAAAAAATTCTAGCATTCCTTCTTCTTTGATTAATATCTACAAAAATGACAATAACATGTAAAGACAATAAAAAGACCAACATAATATTAACATGAATGATTAGTAGAAAAAAAATACGTAGTTATAATCATAATGATTATTACAGCGTCTTTTAATCATATGTACAACCATGTTTATAATCATAAGTGATTATAACGAACACAATTGACGATGACATGTCCGTCATCATCAAAATTGAGAAAAATAGAATGTGATTGAATCATTAAAGCATATGGGAAGGTAGATAATTAGTGTATCAAAAAGTATCAACAAAGTGGCAGTAACAAGAAAACTCGACCGAGAGGGCTTACCCTCTTCTAGTTATGATTATTAAAAACTTCATACCCCCAAAACATAAAGTCACCAAAGTAAATGTCCACCTGTTTTTCAGAAACATCACAAAAAGGAAGATGTTAATATAACCAATGGCTTGTGTATTAAGTATTAACTATGAAACATAGAGGGTTTGTGACTTGTAACAACTTACTGAGTGTAAAAGAAAAGTACTTCGAGTCCAACAGTTATCATATTAGCAAGAAGAACTGCTCATGACACCAAATGCAATTAAATCTGTAAACAAGCAGCCAAACAGGATGGATTGATTTCAAAGAGGTCTTCCAAGTTTCATCTTCATACAAGATCCCAATTGGAGAATGAACACAAAATTCAAGCTAATTCCCATGGAGATCCTAATTGTTTTAAGCTGTGATAATTACACCAAATTTGATACAACCATGTTTATAATCATAAGTGATTATAACGAACACAACTGACTATGTTGATTGAATTTATTCACCACTGTAGTGAAGGATATCAGATTGCTAGAATTTGACCTACGAACACAATAGAAGGAAGAATCAAAACTTACCAATTGTTGATTTATAGCTTCAATTTCATATGAAATCCTGTCAAAATTTCCCCCTCTTTCTTGCATCGCCAATCACGCACCCCCTTCATGATTGCAATTACCAATCGTGATTTTTGCAGTCATTCTTCAAGCCCTGAATTGGGATTGCAAGTCCTAGGGCTTACGAGAAATCGAGGCGGTCTCTTGGGCTTCGATGGAATTGGCGATGGTGGAAGTCAAAGGGGCAGAGAGTGTGACGGCTCACCAACGACGACAACAATAGGGGGACAGGAAGGGAAGAAAGGCTCGCATCGAAGGTGTGATGTCTGATATTCAGGATGTTGTGTCCAATTGCGATCGTCTCCGGGGTTCGAAGAGGTTGAAGAGACAGAGGGAAGAGGGGAAGGAAGGACGTCGATTCTCCGGCGACCCTTGTGGCTTAATCGTTGTCATCAGCAACGCATAAATGGGGGAAGGAGCAAACAACAAAAAATCGACATTTGGGGTGAAATCAAGAAGCATCATCGTTCGATGTGGATGGTTCATCTGTCGAGCAAGGGAAAAGGAAAACGGAAGTAGTTGGGATCGGCTGTGTGATTCAGCTGTGTGATGAAGGTGTCGATTGTATGCTGTATGAAATTAGGTCAACGGAATAGAGAGGCAGGGAGTAATTATAGGAGTTTACAAAATTAGGGTAATGTTTATTTACCTGAATACCCTTTATAATTTTCTTTAATTTGAAATTTAAATTATAAATGTATTAATAATTAGAAAAATAACAATTAATTATAGCCACACATCTTAAAAATTAGATGGTCCAGATCTGTTCTCGCGTTCTCAACCTTTTAGGTGTTCTCATTTGATCCTACTCCTATATATATATATATAGATATATATATATATATATATATATATATATATATATATATATATATATATATTATATATATATATATATATATATATATATATTATTGAATTAAATAGTATTTCTTCTCCAATAAAATTAATTAATATGATCAAAATACTTTTTTGTAGGGTTGTCAATCTTAACTCGAAGCCACTAACACAACCCGAACTCAACTTAATAAATAACAGGTTGGGTGGAGATTTTGAACCCGTTTAATTAAAGGAGTCAACCCCGTCTAACCCCTTCAATTAAATGAGTTGAGTTAGAGTTGAAATTTCTAACCTATTTACAACCCGCCAACCCGTTTAAATTTTTTAAATATTTTTTAATTTATATATATTTAGTATTATTATTTAGTTGATCCTTATATTTTGATTGTTTTTTATTTATCAAAAACTATGGGTCGGTAACCGTTATTCGAATTCGAATTGGTAAAAGTGACAGTCGAGTTGCGTATAATACATAAATTAAACATTTATAATGTTTTATGGTTGTAAACACTTGATTTGTGTGTGTTAATGAGCTTATAAACTTATTTTTGTATTATTTTCGAACTTGAACATTTATTATATCTTTAAAATTGTTTGTAATTTTAATTGATGAATTATTTGATTTTTAAGGGTTTTGTGTGTGTGTGTGTGAAAAATTAAACAAGTAAACCCTTGATATCCTCCAATGTATTTGTTCCACCTGTTGTGCTTCACAAACTGTTTCCTACATCGATTGAAGGCTTCATCTTCCTAATGCATTTCCTCCGGATGCTCCAATATGTAATTTTATTTGATGGATTATTTGATTTTTAAGGGGTTTTTTAATAGCACCGACACAACTATACTCCACAACCTCCTGCTTCTTCCCCAAATACATGTGATCTTTCGTTTTGTAGACCATTGGGTGATACGTTCATACACTAGTTAAGCTAATTCTCAGGTTTTCCTTTATTCCATAATTCATGCAAAAGAGTTGAAATAATCTTCTCTTGTTAGTTAGTCTATGTAGCCACGTTTGCATTATGATAAGTAGCATTAGTTACCATTAGTCACATAATCAGTATCATTAGTCACGTTGCATGTCTCATTATTTTTAGGAGTGTCTTCATTATAAGTATTGTAATTGGGTTGCAAAAGAAAAACAGAAAAGTTAATGAAATTGTTATGTTATTTTAGTCTATCTTCTTCATCTTAATTCTTGGGAGATTAGCCATCTCGAATTGGCTTCTATCAATGGTGCTTTCATTCCCGCTCATCATGCCTCCCCATCAAGATCCGTCCACCGATGTCACACCGCCAAGTATCCGCAAGCAACTCTCCACACTCATCGATATTTCTACTGCTCTTGATGCAATTATCACACAAATGGCCACCGTGAACACCCTCATAAGCATTCAAACCGGAACCATGGCCAAACTCATCCTGCCTCCACCTCCACGTCCACCAGCGAATCAACAACCAAGGCCGCCGCCGCCGACATCCACATCGTCACTGCCGCCGCCACAACAGTCGTTATTGCCATCGCCGCCTCCAAAACCATTGAAATCGCCCATGGCAACTAAAAAATAATTCCTACCACCGATGATGCCACCCCTGAAAACTACCTACATAAAAGTACCGAAAACAATTCCAAACAACAAAAACTATCGAAAACGGTTCCAAACAAACTCACTGGGCCTCGAGCACGGGGTCCTTTTAAAGCGCAGACGAACTGATACGGATCTCTAGCCATACCTAAGGCCGCCTCCATGGCCAAATCCTCCCGTTCATGGGTACGCCCTGATTACTACCAGAAATCAGTATAAATCGGCGTTGAGGACAAGGCCATTTTTGAGGGGCGGAGTATTGATACGTTCATGCTCTATTTAAGCTAATTCTCATGTTTTCCTTTTTCCATAATTCATGCAAAAGAGTTAGAAATAATCTTCTCTTGTTAGTTAGTCCATGTAGCCACGTTTGCATTATGATAAGTAGCATTAGTTACCATTAGTCACATAATGAGTAGCATTAGTCGCGTTTCATGTGTCATTATTTTTAGGAGTGTCTTCATTATAAGTATTGTGATTGGGTTGCAAAAGAAAAGCAGAAAAGTTAATGAAATTGTTATGTTATCTTAGTCTATCTTCTTCATCTTAATTCTTGGGAGATTAGCCATCTCGAATTGGCTTCTATCATCAGGCTTCTTCTTCAATAACATCAACACAACTCTACTCTTCTTCCCCAAATACAAGTGACGTTCTCAGATGAATACGGGATGACCTTTTCTGAGTTTGATTCTGTCGGCTTTTGATTTCTCGAGGGTGAAAGAAAGGGTGAAGGAGAAACTGATTGAGGTAATTCAAAAGGGAGCGGCCCCCTCCCGATTTCTAGGGTACATAGGTCTAAAATATTGGTTCCTTTACCAATTACATCGAATGTGTTTTTCAAGTCAGTCCATTGTTTAACAAGTTTCTTTACGATATCAGGCTGTCAGATTCCACCATTTGTGTTCCAAATTCATTTTTCTTTAGGTGATTCTGAATCCTATGGTTTTAATTTAACCTAATTACAGAAGGTGTGGAATTCTAATGTACAAGTCCTGTGTTATAGGAACTCCGGGCTAAGTCTTCATCCATTGTCTTGATGAATAATTATTTCATAGCTTCCACAACAACAATTAGAACAATCTTGTTAACATTTTAATAGAAAAATATATAAAACAAACCTCCCCAGGCCCCTCACGCTCTTAGACATACAACCCCAAGGTAGAAAGTAACTGTGTTTTAGTGCTTGTTTATTAGGGATGATTTGCTATTTATAATATCCTTTTTACTAAACTAGAGTTCATAATTCGTAGGTATATGCATCCGTATTAATTTTTAGTATTTCTTTTTGTCCAGTTTGATCGTTTTTTAGACCTGGTAAAACTAACACGACCTATTATGTCAATAGAAATAAGCCGATTTTGGTAAAATATTTCAATCCATACCCATATAAATAATGGTTGATACGACACGATACGAAAAATTAAACATGTATGATTAATGTTAAGTGCTTTCAACTTGTTTGGTGTTACAGTCCGGTATGAAATGAGAATTTACAATGTTTAAACCTTGAACACACTAATTTCACACAAAATGAACATGTATCGATGAACGAAATTAAGTAAACATGGGAAGACACAAAATTTAAACGGATAACCTTATGATTAAACTCTATCACCCTGATATAACACAACATATTTATCGGATATAATTTGGTCTATCTTTCATCACCATTCACGAGTAGTCTAGTTACCATTGCTCCTGATCGCGTGATTTTCATATACATCAAATACATATCTTAATTATAGTTTTTGACTATCATCATTAGAACGACGAATTTACTATACAATTTCAATAACTTCTTGATCAATCGTCATCTTTTATTTTTTTAAAAAGGTGAAATAATAAAAGAATTTAAGTACTAAAAAATATCACAGCCTACTAACATTTGAAGACTTATCCCACCATTTCCACGAATTCTTTAAAGATGAGAACCAACATATAATCGCCAATACCCCAAAACAATAAAGACAAAACTAAATTATGTTGGTAATTGTAACTTTCATAGAATGAAAACCCTCCGTAGCCATGGCAGCACCTTCATGTTCCTATTCTCTCACTCTTCTACCTTTTCTCTCTGTAGCCATTGACACCATCACACCCACACTGCCCCCGACCATTAATCAAACTCTAGTCTCAAATGATGAAGTTTTTGAGTTGGGTTTCTTCAATACCAGCAATTATTTGTATATAGTCATTTGGTACAAGCAAATTGAGCCAAGAGAAAGATTGTTTGGGTAGCTAATAGAGGCACCCCCCTTACTTCATCATCCAGGAACCTAACCATCGTCAACAACGGCAACATGGTGCTTATAAATCAAATCGGAACCATCGTCTGGTGGACAAATCAAACTGAAATTGCAATCAACCTCCCAAGACGGTTCACCTCTGCTTTCATCAGATCAAAACGTTTGTGTATCTCGGAACGGATGTCTGGTATTTTCATCTCATCAAAATGTGTGTAATATAATTTTATGAGTGTGAGTACTTTATTTTAAACCCAATACAACAACTTTTTTTTACTGTAACCCAAAACAATAATATATTTATGTTTTCAAAGAAAAATATTGTTTATTTTTATTTTTAACCTAAAACAACAACTTATAGTCACCAAAATAAAATAGAGGACACTGTTCACCAAAATGAAACAATGCATTCAACGAGCTTCAAAATATATACATTTTGAATGAATAAGATATTAGTTATAGATAAATATCATAAATTACCGAGATACATCAATTATTATATACAAAAAAGTGTTTGTAAATTTATTATCAAAAACTATGATTTTTTTATCATCGAAGTTATTTTGATTTATCAACTAGTCTTCACTTATTGGTAGTTGTATATTGTATTGTCGAAAGTTAAAAAAAGATATGGATTGAAAATATTAATTTTAGGTAAACTTAGCAATACAACATATAATGTTGTATTTAAATATGTATCTGGAAATTTGTGAAACAAAAAAAGTATTTAAAATATATCAATAGTTTTTTTATTAGTATAGATTCAATTACCTACTTATTCATCATTTTGTTTGTATTTATTTTGAAACTTATTTTGAAAAATGTTTAATGTTTACATCTTGATATTCATTACAATTATTTAAAATATATCAATAGTTTTCTTTTTATTAGTATATATTTAATTAGTTACTTATTTATCATTTCGTTTGTATTTATTTCAAAATTTACTTAAAAAATGATTAATGTGTACACCTTAATAGTCAATTTCAAAAGAAATTTAAATAGCTCGCTCGATCACGTGTTATCTGGAGAGTACACCTTCATATTTATCTTTTTTTTTTAATCAAGACGTGTAGTATACAGGTCTCATACCAAATATTTTAACAACCGGCTGGAACCTTTTTGACCGGAAACTGGGGACGAGAACGAATCAACAACGACAGGTTTTATGCGATTTTTTAGACCAAATCGGGTCGGAAGATTTCATCAAAAAATCGGGTTGAATCGGTATGACAGAACCGGTAAAAGACTGTTTGAACCAGTTTATTGGATTTTGATAGTTGAATTTCACTTAACCTATTAAAAAAACTAGTCGATTTCCAATGAAATTTAAATAGCTCGCTCGATCATGTTATTCGGAGTGTACACAACTCGAAACCGACACATGTCACTATTACATGTAGACCGATGATTAAACGAACAGTTGGTTGAATTTAAAATTGGTCATTAGACCGATTTAACTAAAATCAGATTTTTAAAAGATTGCTCAAAACTAGTTCCGCTAATAAGTATATATACATTAGTTTTACTATTTTTAGTATATCTTTTTTCCTAATTTGACCGTTTCTAACTCTGTCCCCAATTATCCACATTAGTTTACTTGCCGGTTGCTCTTGACTTCTTGAGGTACTTGCAATATAATTTCCGTAAATTATTAATCAAGTTTCATCCGAAAAGTCAACTATCAAACTGGATTCAAGAATTAAAAAAATATAAAACCATCTCCACGAATTCTTTGAAGTTGACAACCTTCATATAACCTTCAATCCCAAAAATCAATGAACACAAAAATTCTGTTAGTGTTAATCTGTAACTTTCGAAGAATGAAAACCTTCCATAGCCATGTCAGCACCTCCATCTTCATCTTCATCTTGTCACTCTTGTACCCTTTTCACTCTCTAGCTATTGACACCATCACACCCTCACAACCCCTCACAATCAATCAAAGTCTAGTCTCTAAGGGTGAATTTTTTGAGTTGGGGTTCTTCAATCCAGGAAACAATAATTTGTATATAGGCATTTGGTACAAGCGAATTCAGCAGAAAACATACGTTTGGGTAGCTAATAGAGACAATCCCATTACTTCATCGTCCGGGAACCTAACCATCGCCAACAACGGCAACATGGTGCTTGTAAATCAAACCGGAACCACCGTCTGGTCGACAAATCAGCCTACAAAGGTGGTGAAGACGGTGGCGCAGCTTTTGGACAATGGTAACTTTGTGCTTCGTCCGGAAAACGATGAGAACCCAGAGAATTATATTTGGCAAAGCTTTAATTATCCAACTGATACTCTATTGCCGGAGATGAAACTGGGATGGGATAGGAAATCTGGAATTCATCGGTTTTTGAGGCCGTGGAAGACGATCAATGATCCGGCGACTGGTGATTATTCTTTCAGAATGAATCTCAATGGGTTCCCGGAGGTGTTGTTGAAGCACAACGAAACAATAACATGGCGGACTGGGCCTTGGAACGGGAGGAGGTTTAGTGGTGCGCCGGCGATGAAAGGGGCGAGTATTATGCAGTTTGAATTTACGGATAATTCCGATGAGATTAATTATTCATTTAAATTGCTGAATAGTTCTATTTATTCGCGATTAATTATAAATTCTTCAGGGATAAATGAAAGATACGTTTGGGTCGAAACAACAAAAGCCTGGAAGATCTACTGGACTTTCCCTGTTAATGTCTGCGATCACTATAGTACATGTGGTCCTTTTGGCGTTTGTGATGCAAACGCTATACCTATATGCAAATGTATGACCGGATTCCAGCCAAAAAACAAAGAAGCATGGGATGATGTAATACATGGTTTTGTTGGGTGTGTTCGGAGCTCCAAATTGGATTGCGGGTCGGACGGGTTTCTGCCAATGAAGAACATGAAATTGCCTGAGAGCTCGAAAGCGTTTGTTGATAGGAAGATGAATTTGAGCGAGTGTGGGGAGATTTGCAGAAGGAATTGTTCTTGTGCCGCTTATGCTAATATGAATATCACTGAAGGCGGGTCGGGTTGTGTGATTTGGGAAGGAGATCTCATCGATATGAGGCAGTATGCTGAGTCTGAAGATGGTGGACAGGCACAGGATCTTTACGTTAGAGTTTCTGATTTGGGTATGTTTCTAATTTCAATCCAAAACTCTATAATGAAGTGATGATTCGTGCGTTAATGCTTGTATTATTCACCTTTCGTATGATTCAAGTCTCATCATTAGAAGATATAAGTGGTGTTTAGGAGTAGATTATAAATAAATTAGTTTGCTCGTTTAAAAAAAATAAACTAAAAAAAGAATAAAACTCTATATCACAACAATACTTTATTTAACATTTAAAAAACTGTATGTATATCTTTAGAAAATTTAAAGATCTGATATGGTAAAACATATCAAATCATTAATATACAAAACGTAAGTTTATAATAATAAAAAAAAAAAAATAGTCAATGGAATGAGTTATTAAAAAATAGGGATGGAAGAAACAAATTATTTGTTCTCTTTGATTTGGTTTGGCGTAAGTGATGGATTATCACACTCTTATATACCTTCTTGTAAACACAGGCTCATTTACATTATTGATACAAACCAATTAAATTCCTTGGTACTTTCTTCTTCAAAAAATAAATAAATAAATAAAGCACCTCTTATAGTTAGCCCAATCACTACAAGAAGTCTGGGTATTAGCGGCGACGCCTGTCGTCGCTAATGGTTGAGGTTGTCGCCGCTAATACCTTTAGCGGCGACATGTCGCTGCAGATGCGTAGCCGGTAATGCTTCGTCGCTAATACACATCCAGACGCCGCTAAATGTTACCTGTCGCCGCTAATAGCCGGTCGACGCCGCTAATAGTGTGTCGCTGCTAATACGCAGTTGTCGTCACAAAAGACGTCGCCGCAAAAACTGTTTCGTTTTTTTTTTTTTTTGTTTTTTTTTTTGCTTATTTAACATTAAATTTATAAAAAACAATATAACATTTATAAAATCTGATAACTTTTTATAGAAATATTAATCCATACACAAACAATCCAAAATATTAATCCATACCACCTAATTAAAGTATTCTTCCAAATTACAAAACATTTTCATAAAATCCTAAAGTAACTACTCGTCCTCATCATTTCCTTCATCATTTGGTGGCGGTAATGAGCGAAACCACTTTTCCAATGCTGCAGAACAGGTCGGGTCCTGTAGTATTGTTCGTAGCATTTCCAACTAAAGGCGTCGCTGGTAATGCCAAGATTTCTTGTAGTGAATTCATAATAAATACCATAGTCTATTTTGTCACATCATCTCACCCGGAAGGTGGCTAACTCCTTGGTCTTACGAGCCGCTTACGCTAACTCAAGCAGGTACCGGGAGGGACATCTTAGGCAGTAGAATCGAGCTCATGGCATGCATTCAAATGGGACCATAAGGATTTAATCTTATAATTTTTTGTCATATTATATCAAATTATGTAATTTTATTTTACCCATTACTTCGACTTTCTTTTGGTTGACAAGCTTTTCAGTAGTATACTGAAATTTAAATAAAGTCAAATGTTTTTATTGAACTATCTATTTCACACATGTTGGTCTTTTTTGACAAAGAATACTTAAATTATTTGTATCTCATGAATAAATATTGCAGATACCAAATTAATAGAGGAACCACCAACTACCAAAGATAACGGCAGCAAAGTTGGCAAAGTTGTGGGCATTAGCGTCAGTACTGCTTTTGCGGTGTTCATATGTATAGTGATACTCTTCTACTTGAAGAGGAAGAAAACACAATCCTGGAATAGAGAAGGTAATTTTTACTATTTTTAGAATCAAACACCTTATTTTTAAGATTTTAAAATATGGAAGTACCATTAAAATAACATTGATAGTAACTCATAATCACATCCACCTATTAACGTATCTAGCATTGTAACTAATAAAGAGTTTGAATATTTAAAGTCATGATATATAGATTACCGTAGCAATGAAGGTTAGAGGCTCAAATCATGGGAAACAATCGTTTGCAGAAAAACAAAATAGGAATACATTGGTCAAATACATGCAGGAAAACGTACACTAGATATATGAACAAACACAATGGACTAAAGAGCAACATTAATTCGACTCAATGAAGGTTATCGTTGTGTAAATGTGGGAGGTCATCTTAGTGATGTAGTCGATCTTAAGTCCACGGAGACTTGAGTGTTAATGATATACCATGCATATATACTCATCAACTGTCAGACTTCGAGGAAATTCCATTCTAATGATGGGATTCCTGGGTTTTCTTGTTGTTGTTGTTGTTGTTGTATATATAGATTATCATATTAATTTCTTTGTGTTTGATATATTTTGCTATGATCCAAATTAGGTCCACAAGAAAGAGCCGAACACATCATATTAAATAATGGAGTTATTCTGCCAAGTAGGAGAGATTATCATAGTGACACAGTCATGGACGAACTCGAATTACCATTATTCGATTTTACAACACTGGCAGTGGCTACAAACAACTTCTCAAACACAAATAAACTTGGGCAAGGTGGCTTCGGGTGTGTGTACAAGGTAAAGTACTTGTTAAAGAGAGTGATTTCAAACACCATATCCAAAATTCTGAAAATCCACTCTTAAATAATCCGAAAATATAAATCGTGATTTTTGAAAATTTTGGGTACTCGGATTACATGAAAATCCAAAAATATACATTTTTATTTGAAATAAAATTATTCTGGTTTTTGGATGAAATAGTTGGGGGAAAATCTCTATATGATTAAAATGAATCCGTTGGTTCAAATTGGATGGAGTAATCTCCAATCAAAGGTGCAATGTTGTTTTTTTTAAGTGTAACTAACATGCAATTAGGTTGTGTGAAAAATTAAATATTATAAATTCCTTGGTTAAAACTTCAACATATAGTATTATCATTTAAAATGCATTTACTCAGATCTGTATCTAAAATTTTGAATATCAAAATATCTAATATATATATATATATATATATATATATATATATATATATATATATATATATATATATATATATATATATATATATATATATATATAGTTTTAAACACTCATACTCAAAACATCTTACAAGATAAAGTGACATCATTATTGTTGGTGATATAGGGTACATTACCAGGAGGTGAAATTATAGCGGTAAAAAGGCTCTCAAGTGTTTGTGAGCAAGGGGTTGAGGAACTTAAAAACGAGGTTCGGTTAATTGCGAAACTCCAACATCGAAACCTTGTTCGAGTACTAGGTTGTTGCATTGAGGTTGAAGAGAAGTTGTTGGTTTATGAATTCATGGAAAATAAAAGTTTGGATACGTTTCTTTTTGGTAAGTTTATCACGGACGTTATTTTGTATTTCTTTTGATTCCTAAGTTGATTTTGTTGAAATTGAACGGTGTTCTTCAAAAATCATTATAGATAAAGAGAAAAGCATGAAACTCAATTGGAAAATCCGACTAGAAAATATTCGGGGGACCGCACGAGGTCTTCATTATCTTCATCATGATTCAAGATTTAAAATCATTCATCGAGATATGAAAGCAAGTAATATTTTATTAGATAAAGAAATGAATCCAAAAATATCAGATTTTGGTATAGCAAGGATTTTTGGAAGCGATCAAACAGAAGCGGAAACAAAGATAGTGGTTGGAACATAGTAAGCATCGTTCTATTTGCTCATAAATTTGAATATCTTTGACTCTTAAATGATGTAACTTGCATTTTTTATTGGTTTAATTATTCTAATTACTTTTGTTAAATTTATTGTAGTGGTTATATGTCACCAGAATATGCGATGGAGGGCCATTTCTCAACCAAGTCAGATGTTTTTAGTTTTGGAGTTTTGATTCTCGAGATAGTAAGCGGTAAAAGGAATAGAGGATCATTCAACACGAGTAACAAAATGAACCTTCTTGGACAAGTAAGTACAATTTGTGACATTTTTAAAACTTTCAAAGTAATTCTAATATTATGTATTCAATAAAATAATAGTCATACCCTTACGGTCAATTTCATTTTGGTCCTTGTATTGTTAAATAATTGTATTTGTGATGAAAACAATATTTTTAGGCATGGACGTTATGGAACGAAGGCAACGCTTTAGAACTACTAGACGGATCTCTTGGGACCAAATATTCAAAGAATGAAGTTTTGAGGTGCATACAAGTTGGATTGTTATGCGTTCAAGGACAACCAGAAGATCGACCTAGTATGTCAAAGGTGTTGTTGCTATTGAGCAGTGAAACAGTGCGAATGTCACAACCAAAACACCCTGGATTGATTACTAGAAATATAAATAACGAAACAGAATCTCCAAACATAAGTGATGATCCCATGACCACAAACGGAATCACAATGTCGATACTAGATGGTAGATAGCGAAACTATGTTGATTGCCATATAGCATCAATTGTACATCATATTTTCTCTTTTTCTTTAATTAACGTTGGTTTATTAATATTTAATATTCTTTTCTTAAGAGAAACGTAGATTGTGTCATATTTACACATTATAGCAAGTGTGAATTTTGGATTGAATGATTTATATTATGAAGCAGAGGTTTGTTCGTGCTATACATGAATTTTCAACTAATTTGTTGTAAAACATTAATTTTAATCCAAATTAAATATCTTTTCCAAATAATATTTTATATGAAAATAATCTGACAACTAGATACACATGCACTCTCCATGATAAAAACTCATGATCATGTGAACCTAATTACTCTTTTTTATATATGATTGACCAGCAAACTTGTAAAAAATATTCAAATGTTATCATTGTGACTGATTATCTTAATTTACAACTTACTTTGCATATACGCGACATTTATGTGACAAATTAAAACGGGAAAATGACTATAACGACTCATGAATCACAATAAATTAAAACTTAAAAAAACCCATAGTCATAAAATGTTTACAAAATCATTAATTCCAAATTGTTTAACCATATCAGAGTCTCCCAAAATCATAAGTCATAAGTAGAGGAAGTATACAGTCACGCCTTCGCCTTCCCGCGATCATCCGAAGTACCTGAAACAACAACTATAAACCGTAAGCCAAAGCTTATTGAGTTCCCCCAAGGTACCAACACACAAACAGATAGTATATACAACATGTCAGGTCCAATCAACCACCCGGTTAGAATACCCCAGGCCCAATCAACCTCCGGGTCCAGTCATCATCGGGATGGAATACCCCAGTTTGGAATGCCGATACACAATGGGTCCACTCAGTCATCAGACTACAATACCCTCAAGCCCTCAGTACGAGTCTCGCATGCCAACCAGCCCTTAGCTTGTATCTGGAATGCTCCCGAGCCCTCAGTATGAGTCTGGCATGCCAACCGACCCTCAGCTCATATCTTGAATGCTCCCGGGTTTGTTGGCTACAACACAAAGCAATACAACCTCAACCCACCACAATATGTCGACATATAACAGATAACAAACATAAGCAACATATAGGTAATCATGCAGACAAAAACACAGGTAGTCCTACAGATCTACCGCTCTAAACATATCAACAACTAGCATATAATCATGCAGATCTATCCCATACTCGGTATATCAATGTATAGTCGGATATCAATCCAATGGGTACCCGACCTACCCTCCGGTGTATTTCAATCGGTTACGAGGTCTATTTCACCCCTACCACTACCACATAATAACATACATAAATTACATTATCATCAAGCAATGCGTGAACGATGATAATTATCACACAGACAACCATCATACTATGCAATAAATAAAGGGCCGACCTTGGTGCCTTTGACCAGCTAAACACAGTGAGGGGACTCACCTTGCACTGCTGAAGTCCTGTGGATAAATCTCTGGCTGCTGGATGACGGGCCCCCGAACTGTCAACATCACAACAACACCAAATTAACAATTGGGTTCCAATGCATATCCATAAATCCATACTTGGGGTAAAAATACCATTTTACCCCTAACCTAGCTTGGTCCAAGACAAAGGCCCAAACTCACACTCTGAAGGCCCAAAAGCCAAGTAATCAACCAAGGCCTAGTTATGGCCCAATTTTCCAAATTGGTCCCAAACCCCTTACATGGGCCTTACCCTAAGGCCAATCTAATTTTTCCTAGTCCATACACTTGTTCTCAGATGGCCCATCAATAACCCAATCACCAAAGCCCAAAAGAAAGGCCCAACTTGAAGCCCAAACACGATTAGGGTTTCACATAAAATGACGACTAGGGTTAAGTAAGAACACTTAACCCATTAAATACTTAATCATTAAGCCCATCATTCCACTAGGTCAATCATACAATGTGGTCATACATAATCCATAACTCCAATCCAACGATCCAAAACGCGGGTCCCGGCAAGTCCGAAATAAAAGTCTCCAGGATTTGGGTTTTCTAAACCCTAATTAGGGTTTCCAACCTAAATGCATGCCAATTAGGTCCAATGGTTAAGTTTTTAGGTTAATTAGCGTTTAATGAGCCGGGCATCGCCCACTACCACTTCTGGCGATGGTGGTCAATGGCGGTTCACGGCGGCAACCACCACCTTACGGTGGTGGTGGTTATGATTTCAGGCCAAAACAATACCAAAAGCACTCCAAACATCAGTCCAATCGCACACAAATGCACACAGCCATCGGAGATGGTGGCTAGTGGTGGCAAAACGGCGGCAGAAAGTGGCAGCCGCCACCTCACGGTGGTGGTGATGGGTTTCTTTGATTTTTCCCCGGCCAAGAACATCCATACAACATATTATCTAAAGGAAACACGCACACACACACACACCAAATAACACACACACATAATATAACACACACACACACACCCCCTACACACGATGGCTAGTGTTGGAAAAAAAAACATTAAGGGCAGCAGCCACCATGGTTGGCTGCCATGGTGGTCCTTCTCGACTTCCGACCAAACAAAATACACACACTCCTAGCAAAGTGGCAACCACAACACACACGCACACATGAAATAAAAGCACGACCACAACCACCTTGTCGATGGCAAACGATGGTCGGAGGCAACAGCAATGTGACGAACGTGTGGGACGGTGACGTCGGACGTGAGCTGAGGCATAGAAACAGAGGAAACGGGGGAAGAGAATGAGCGTGAACCAACAGCGAACAACAGCAGCATCCACGAACCTTGAACCTCTGATATGCTCGACCAACTTAATGTCAGTTTTGTGACTCTTCATCTTCGCCGACAACAAAACGGTGATGATCGGTGCTTCGGTGTTTCTTCGATAGCGACAAGGGGTGGCGGATGAAGAGGTTGAGTGATAAGGGTGGCGACTGAAACGCTCTCTAGGGTTAGGGTTTAGGGGAAAAAATGAAACGAGGGAAAAGGAAGGGTGACGGGTTTAAGTCCTCGTCCCTAAAATCAAACTTCTATCGAAATTTATAATTCCGGCCCCTCCCACTCTTTTCTTTTCAAATCAGCTCCACGATTTACCAAACAACCCTTGCTCACGAAACTCTTTACATTTCAAGTCCATTTGTTACAATCTAGACTCTAAATTCCTGAAAAATTATAACATTTAACTCCCATGGCTAACACTAATCAATTATTCACTACAAATAAAAAGACATTTAGTGGCATATAAAAAATGTCACTAAAAACCGAAAAAGTGCCACTAAAGCCCCCTTAGCCAATCAGCGACACAAAAAAAGGTGCCACTAAAAGCGCTCCCACTAAAGGCTTTTAGTCGCACTTTTTGATTGTGCCGCTGCAGGCTTTCGAGGTTTTAGTGGCACTTTTTTACTATGCCACTATAAAACTTGTAGGTTTTAGTGGCACTTTTTTATGCCGCTGTTTTATTGTAAAATAAATATTATTCCAATGCTTTTAGTGACACTTTTTTAATACAAAAAACATACTAATAATTAGGTTGATATTTTTTTAATTTTAAGTGAAATATAAATAATAACAAGACAATTAAGATAATAAATGACAAACACAATATCATTCCTTCAATTTAAACTTGTCTAACTATAATGTTCTTGATTTTTAAAACACAAATATCTTAAAAAATGATTAAAAATTCTGAATGGTGTGCTACTACTCAAAACATAATACTATTAAACTAAATACTTCTTGAGGAAGAAGCACGAAACTTGATTGACCTTGAACTTTGTATAATTATTCCGCTTGAGTTTTTCTTCTTGTCGAAGAGCTAGGATGTTTATCATTGTCTCATATCAGCCATCAAAATAATAGTTTATGACTTTAGACAACACACAATTTTCCTTGTAAATATTAGTTTCCCTGATAACCAAACTTAAGATATTACAAAATCAAGTTAAAGTGAATAGAATGTGTGAATACCTCCCCTACGATAGTTGTATTGTATCCTTCCTCTTTGTGTAGCTTGTTTGAAAGGGAAATCTCTATAAAAAATATTTGAAATCACAAAAACCAAATCAAATTAAGAATACATAATCAGCAAAAAGAACCATGATTAATATTTGAAAAATGATAACAAAAAAATGAAAAGTTGTAACTTCTAAAGTCTAGTCTCGAAACATTGAGCATTACCATGTAATACATACAATTTATGAGTTTTATATGTGATTAAAATAATGGATAAAAATTATCAACAACTTCAGAGATACTAGTTAATTTGATTATAATCCAGTTTCAATGGTAATATAAATGTCAAGACGAACTTACAGAAGTTTAACAGTCAAATTAATTACATAAAAATAGGTTTCTTAATCTATAAAGCATTTTTATATAGATGAACATCAACTATTTAAAACCATGCCAACTTACTCAAACGTGGGGAGGAAGAGGATACTCCACCCCAGGTTTTGAATTCAATTAAATATTAAGGTCAATCCTTTTTATTTTTATAATAACAACATATATGAAAAAGATTTATAAAACATTTTATATACATGGACATCATGGGCATCAGTTATATAATTTTTAAAAAATCACTTTTAGAAAAGCTGATATACAAAACATAAAGCCTTTGATAAGCTAACAAGTAACCATTATTGATGCTCTAATAATTATACATAGTAAAATTAAAGATGTCTCATAACATAAAAGGTCAATCATTTCCTATGTAGTTTTTTATTATAATTGCACATTTGCACTCTAAAAGGTTGCAGTTATTTATATATACAATTTCAAACATTAAACAAAATTGATATTCCCATTGATATTCAATTGCTTACGATTTTTTTCCTACTTATCGTTGCTGGCACTTAATCTATTGTAATAACAACCACATAAATTTCATAATGTAAATTATATGTTTGTATTTAGAATTAGAAAAGTACCTTTTGGTCATATGTGGACTCTATTGTTAGAATGAAAAGTTTTACCATCACCATTAATTGAGACTGATGTTTCAGCACATTTTGGGTTCAACAGGG